CCCACCGGGCTCTGCACTGGGACCAGGGCCTTTCAACCTATCCATAAACGATCTGGAATCAGGAGCAGGCAGTGAAGTGGCCAAGTTCGCTGAGGACCCCAAACTGGAGAAGCCAGAAGGAGCTGGGAGCAGCCCCGAAGGGATCCCTCTGAGGTGGAAGAACGGGCATCAAGAGGCAAACGAAGTTCAGGGCAGGTGAGTGCAGAGGGGGGCAGGTGGGGGCAAAAGCCCACGACGGCAGGTGTGGCGGATGGGGCCCACGCGAGCAGTGGCTGAGCAGGAGGGAGCCTGTGGGGTGGCGGAGAGCTGGGTGGATGTGCCAGCTTGGTGCGCGGTCGATGTGAAGAAGGCAAGCTCCATGCTCGGCATCATTGGGAATGGAGCTGAAAATAAGATGCCAAGACAGTACCGGCCTTATCAACTTTTTGCTGCAGCTGCGCAGCTTTCCCGACGTTCTCAAAATCTGCGGCACACTGCACCGAGCAGCCAATCCACGCGCCACATCACTCGCCCACCGTCGGCTGCTTCCCGCAGCGAGGTGCACGGGCAACTCGGCATGGCGCCGCTTGGCTTCGGCAAGGGCTCGACGGTGCGCAGCTGCTGGCGTGGGGCTCTGGTCAGTGCTTCACGCCAGGAGCGCTTGCCCCCCCAGCGCCAGCAGGTGCCTTCCCTGCAAGAAGCGCCTCGGGGGCCGGGCCGGGCCGGGCCTTGCACGGCGCACCAAGGGCAGATGGCTCCCCCGGCAGTGCCCTGGCAGGCAAGGCCGCCCCGGCTGCGCCCGAGCCAGCAATCCAGCTCTGGGGGAGTCCGGTCCTGGCTTGCGGCGGCCGGAGGGGGCCTGCTACACAGGGGACCTGGCTGCCAGCAGAAGCTCCACTCCGCACCAGCTCAGAGGATCGAAGCGCGGGTCCCGCACGCTCAACACAGCGGCCACGACGGCGCTTGCCGCGCACCCTCAGCCCGGCTGGGAGTCTTCGGCGACGTGTGAGGCGGCCCGAACGCGTAAAGGCAGGCCCAGCACGGAGCAGAGCGGGGCTGCGTGCAGAGGGCCCTTGGAAGGCCGTCACGCGCGGGGCAGCCGCCACGGGAGACGACAGCACGGCGCGTGGCAACCCCAGGAGTGCTCTGCCGCCTGTGCTACCGGGGACTGAATGCGTTCTTTCCAGGAAGCCATGCTTACAGTAGTGCTTTAGAAATGCCATTTAAATGTAATAAATGGGACGCTCAGAATGGTAGAGAAGCGGAAGAAGGCATCAGAACATTCCACACGGTCTCATCAAGGGAAGTCGCCTTTGTGCTCTGCAGACTTAAATTGAGGCCGATTTAACAAAACCGTGTTTCCCGTATGCCGGACACCACGGTGGCTCACGCCACCAGGTGCTGACGATGCAGCACGGCCAGCGCCTTGAGGTGCCAGGTGCCCGCATGGCCTTCCGTCTGGCTGCAGGTCCCGCTTCCTGCGTCATCTGCGGCAATCGCAGGTGTTCATGGTGCACCACGGGATGCCGGGATTGGCAGACGGACAGCAAAAATGGACGTGAAGGGCCTTACGATGGCTAAGGAACTTCCAGCTGGTGGGGGGGGGGGTGAATACCCACCGCCTCTCTGTCCCCACTCTGCATCAGATCTTCTCTCCTACGTTGCCACTTCTGCCTGGAGGGCGTGGATGTGGCTTATACTGATCAATACGTTTGAGGCAGAAGCATTGAAACCGCCCCCCCTTTCTTTCTTAGTTCCAGAGAGAATTATAATTGCGGACAGACATCTTTTATGAAATGTTCCTCTTCCGTCTTTTTGTTCATGGCACCCCCTTTCCTTTCTGGGCACTGTCATGCTTGCAATTTGAATCGCTCTGTTTCCAAATGCATGTAATAAGGATAAAACAATGCACTTCAATTTTAATAAGAAATACATTAATCCTTATTTGTATTATGTGTGTGATTACTCTAATAGTATAAATTGCAATAAAAACCTGGCTGGGGGATGCGACCCCTTATCATGGGCAGCAAGCCGTGCTGGGCTGTGGTGGCACCCAAAGTAAGACAGGCGGCCTTCCACAGGGCACCAGGCCACCCCCAGGCCTGCCCTGGGGCTCGTTCTGGGGCAGTGGCAGCGAGCCTTTCAGAGACCAGTGCCCACACTGCAACCCAAAACCCACTTACATATCGCAAGGAGCCAGCACGACAATACAACCTGAAGACTGAGGTTTTAGTTTAGAAAAAACTCCTCACAGCCAGGCCAAGCAAGTGTGCGTATATCCTTGTCAGCGCACTGACCAGCCGTGTGAAGGCTCAGACGAGTCGTGGCTGACGAGTCGTGCCGCGTGACGTGATCCCCTGCAGCCACTACCCCTTTCCGAGCATGCGCGCGGCCCCCGTGAGCACTCTTGTACGATGCTCGGCTGCTGGGGTGAGGCTGGGGCGACTGGGCGTGCATGAAAACAAAGGGGGCTCTCAGGGCCCACTGTGGCACGCATGCCACGGGTTCAACAACACAGCCCAAGCCCTACGCTGGCGCACACCCCTAACCCTAACGGAGGGCAAAAGTACCACTGGAAAGAGGGCGATTTTGAAAAGGCTTCCTTGAATGGCTTTTTCTGCCCATTCTAAACACATCCCAACCATCAAAATCTTGCGAGGACACCCCATTTTTCTAACCCTAACCCTACCCTGGTGTGCACCCTTACCCCTAATATAGGGGTAAAGTTCCATTGAAAAGAGGGCGTTTTTGAAAAAGTAGTCCTAGAGTAGTTTTTTCTGAACAGCTCATCATTTCTGCCCATTCTAAACACCCTCCAACCATCAAAATCATCCCAGGACACCTCGTTTTTCTAACCCTAACCCTACCCTGGTGCACCACCCTAACCCTAATATACTGGTAAAGTTCCATTCAAAATGATGAGAATTTGAAAAACGCTTCCTTAAGTAGATTTTTCTGCACAGCTCACCATTTGTGCCAATTCTAAACACATTCCAACAATCAAAATCTTGCCAGGACACCTGCTTTTTCTAACCCTAACCCTACCCTGGTGCACACCCCTAACCCTAATAGAGGGCTAAAGTTCCATTGAAAATGGGGTGATCTTGAAAAAAAGCCTTCCTTGAGTAGCTTTCTCTGCACAGCTCATCATTTCTGCCCATTCTAAACACGCTCCAACCATCAAAATCATCCCAGGACACCTCGTTTTTCTAACTCTGACCGTACCCCAGTGCACATGCCTAACCCTAATATAGGGCTAAAGTTCCATTCAAAATAATGCGAATTTGAAAAACCCTTCTGTAAGAAGCTTTTTCTTCTGAGCTCACCATTTCTGCCCATTCTAAACACATTCCAACCATCAAAATTACTTCAATTGAACTTGATGGGCTGCAGTGTGGTCTGAGCTCAGGAGAGCGACCTCATAATGGATCGTGTAAACTGGCCAGCAAGCCGGTTAGCGGCAACAGCAGAACCCCACTGCTCTTCCCCATCTCCCCGCCTCGCTGCCCGCCCTCCGGGGACGCCACGCGGCCTCTGGAGCGACCATCACTCACTCAGCACCCACTCGCGTAAAATTAACTATCACATTCCAGAACACTTGGAGTGCCGTGGCGCTTTCTTTGTTTTGGCTGGCCTTTCACAACGGCATTTCTGACAGTCCTGCCCGGCCAATTCCAGCCTGCTTCAACTTCGAAAGGCGTCTAGAAACTGGGTGGGTCACAGGCGGAAGAGGCGGCTGGTGCCCGGCTGCCGGGAACGCCTCTCCCACGGCTTCGCGGCTCCTTCTGCCCGTTCCCATTTCCCTCCGTTTAATCCCCAGAAGTTCAATTGGTGCCACTTTCCTCTCGGGCGACTCCCAGCCACTCGGTTTGTGCGCATTTCGGCATTTGTTTCAGGACTGCAAGGAGACCATGGCGAGCCCTTGGAAAAGGAGCCCCACAAAGCATGGGGAGCCAGCCCCTTCCCCTTCTGCAGCCTGGGAAAGCGCTGAAGAAAACGCTGCGCAGGTGGGGCAGGCACAGGAGCTTCAGGTACTACTGTCCTCAACTTGAGTCCCACCCGCCAGCGACCCAGGCTTTCAGGGCAGCATGCAATGCATTAATAAAGAACGTATGTTTGTCCAGCTGCCAGTGGCCCACGGTTTGCTGACGGAGTGCCAGAGGACCCAGCGAGCGCCACCATTTCTGGGGTGAGCAGCCCTCCTCCCACCAGTGGCCGGAGACGGGCCTCTTGGGGGACGCCCAGAACAGCAGAGCGCTGCAAAGCTGCCGCTGGAAGCGCCCAGCCCTTCCTGCAACCCCGAAACGGGTTTCACCGGCCCCTTCCCACTCTACCATTCCAGGATTCAGCTTGTCTTCCAGAAATAATGCCAATTACGTTCCTGTTAAATATTTATACACATCTTTTATAGAAATGCACAAATGGGCAACAAGAGGCCCCAGAGCCGTTTAACTCTAGTGACCAAATTTTCTTTTAAAATGGCAATAAGCAGAGCAGCTGGTTTTCAACAGCTGGTTTGCCTTGTGAGCAAGACAGAGTTCTGCCACCTCCGAAAACGCAACAGGCTCGCCACGCCCTAAGCTTCCACACCGCAAGCTATCCTGCCACAGACCGCAGGGTTTGCCCTTCAGTGTCTTCTCCTCCTTTTTAAGCAGAAACCTTTGTACCCGAAGTCCGACACGGTCACGCAGGGGCTTCTGCTGTGGGCACGTCCCAGAAAGGCGGCACCATTGGAGGGGAAAAGGGGATAGCGGCAAGAGACGAGAAGCAGGGGATGGAGCGAGCCAGGGGCTTGGCCGCGGGAGGACCGTGGCAGCCCACGGAGGGGCACTGCCACCAGCCCTGGGTGGGTCCCAAGACCCCAGAGGTCCAGCGGGCTGCGGAAAAGGGCCTCTGCGCCCCAGGGTTCGATCGGCCCGTCCTCTCCGGGCGAGGCACCCCGCCCCCATCCCGCAGCAGCAGCAGCAGCAGATGCCTCGGCCGAGTCCTCCTCCTCGCCGGCACCGGGCTCTGGGACTCACCTCGATCAGGAAGTCTCCTGTGCGCAGCCCTGCGCGCCAGGCCACGCCCTCCACATCCACGGATTCCAGGTACTGGAGCGCTGGGAAGGCTGGAGTCGGGGTGAACTCCTCGATCGGAGTCTCCGCTGAAGGAAAGAGAGAGAGAGAGAAGGCTGCGGTTCAGGTCGAGGAAGCAGGTGCCGGCACAGGTGAGCACGCACAGGCCTGGGTGCTGCACGAACGGCTCCTGCTGCGGGCCAGAAGCCTCGGGGCCGTCCTTCGCCCAGCCGCTGACCTCGGGCGGCTGCAGCTCTCCGCCGTGCCGCACCCACGGGAGAACAGTCCGCCTGTTTGTGCCCGAGGCGCCATGCTGCAGCGCTGCATGCCGACGGACGTGGCAGTTCAGGCAGGCAGGCAGGCAGGCCAGCCACGCCACGCATCCACCCTGCCACAGCTCGCCAAGGACACGCTGGCACAATGCCTGGCCAGAGTCCCGGGGCAGTCCTGCCTCGAGCAGCTGCCCTGCGGGACCCCAGAGGCCTCCTCCAGGCCTTGCACCAGGGTATTCTGGCAGCTGCACCCATGACTGCGACAATGCAGGGGACCCAGCCAGGGACAGACTCCCAGGTCCCCTGCTCCCCCAGACATGGCTGGACGTGCTCCACAGAAGGATCGGCGTGGCGCCTGCGAAGGGAGGCCTCCCCAAATGAAAGACTCTGCTGAAGGAAGCAACTGCTCCTCTCAATCCAACCTCTGCAGAGGTGTGGGACTACACCTCCCATTTTCCCCAGCCAGGCCTACACAACTAGATGCATCAACTCAGAGGAGGCCATGTGAATATACAGTGCCTACACGGAAACGATGCGGAAGGACTCAAGAAGATGGTGGTGCGACTAGAGGAGCGAGGTGCTGGAAAAAGAGCAGCCTTCCTTTGAGCCGAGAAACCCCAGCAAAATGAGGCCAACTGGATGGTAAGCTGGGAAAGCGATCCTGGTGATGCCCCGATGAGCAACCTAGCTCAGAGTGGGCTGGATGGAACAAGGATCGGGTGGATCCACCGCTGGCTGCAGAATCAGACCCAAGGAGTGCTCCTCAGAGGCACCTCCTCAGACTGGGGGGAGGCCACTTGTGGGGCGCCACAGGGTCCGTCCCGGGCCTGGTGCTCCTCAGCATCTGTATCCATGCTTTGGATGAGGGAGTGCGGGGCGCGATCGGCAGATGACACAAAACTGGGTGGGATCGCTACCACCCTGGGAGACGGAAAGAAGATTCAAGGTGACCTTGACAGGTTGGAGCGCTGGGCTGAATGACATTCAGGGGGGAATGACATTGGGGGGGGGGGACAAATGCCAAGTTCTGCACCTGGGGAAAAAGAATCGACAGGTATTGCTACAAGATGGAGGGTACTTGGCTCAACAACCCTGCAAGTGAGAAGAATCATGGAACTGCCGCGGATCACAAGCTGAACGTGAGTCAACGATGTGACACGGCCCAAAAAGGGCAGATGCCACGTTAGGTTGCGCTGATACAAGTATCACGTCCAAATCAGGTGAAGTCCTCGCTCCCCTTTCCTCAGCACTGACCAGCCTCATCTGGAGTCCTGGGTCCAGTTCTGGGCACCACAGTTGAAGAAAGAAGCTAACATGCTGGAAAGTGTTCAGAGGAGGCAACGAGGATGATCCGGGGGCAGGAAAGAAAGTGCTGCGGGGAGAATTAGAAAGAACTGGGGATATCGAGCCTCGAGAAGAGAAGACTGAGGGAGCGCCCGCCAAGTCCTTGAAGGGCCGTCACAAAGAGGAAGGCCAGGCTCTCCCCTTGATCACCCAGAGTGCAGGACGCAGAATAACAGGTTCGAGGGACAGGAAGCCACATTCCGGCTGGGCATCAGGTAAATCTGTTGGTGCAGGGTGGCAATGGTACCCGTGACCTGGGGAGGAGGGACTCTCCACACGGGGGGCATTCAAGGTGCAGCTGGGTGGCCACCTGAGAGGGACGGTTTACCTTGGAGTCCTGCACTGAGCGGGGGGGGGGGGGGACCCGAGGGCCCTCTGTCCCCTTTTAACTCTGCCGTTCTTTGATTCTAAGGAAGGAAAACGAAAGTTCCAGAAAGCAGCCAAAGAGGCAACGTGACTGTTAGATGGGAAAGCTGTAAGATGCACCGGGAGGGGAGGCAGGGGAACCGAAGACGCACCTAGCCAGCAGTTGCGCTGCCACAGGTGCCAGAGATCCACCTATTGCAAAACATGCAGAGGAGGCCGGAGAGAAGGTAAAGCAGTGGGCATCTGCAAGCCGATTGTGCAGCTCACTGGATCGGGGTGGAAACTGTTAATTGATAGCGGCTGGGGCACGCTGAGTGTCTAAGCACACGTGGGAACGTTGCCCTCCACGGCGGCCAGTGGCAAGTTAGTGGTGAGTGTGGCAGATCTTCTAGCCAAAGTGTGTGGCTTGGCCCTAAAGGGAAGCTTCTAGTCCTCCTTGCCTGAGGACGAGAAGGGCCAGCGCCGCACCAGGCTTTTGCGCATCCGGCACAACCAGGAACGGTGCCTCAGCACCGCCACTTCGCCTGTGGAGTGCGAATTGGCAAGAGATAGATTCTGGAGATGAGCTTTATCTCTGCTCTCTGGGCAGCTGACACAATCCATAAAGCCACAGAATAATTCATACTTCTGCAATGAAAAGTCTTAGTAAAAATAATAAAAAGACCTTTAAGGTGAATTGATCTGTTTGTAAAACGTTTTCCAAGAGCACCTCGGCTATTGGGCAGTATATAAATGCATTAAACACATAAATAATATATAAATGAATGTCTGCAGTCACACTGATCCATTATAGTCACAAAGCAAAAGAACCCAAAGCCAAGACAGCCTCTCGGCATTTCCCAGGTTCAATGAAAGTGGCATAAAGCAGCCGGCGGATTTCGCAGGGTTCTCCTGCAGACTGGCGCCACGCAAAAACAGCGGAGGTGGGGGGGGGCGCGTGGGCAAGGGGAGGGACGATCCGGCACGGTCCGTGGAGCGCTAGGTGCGGTGCGGGGCCAAGCGCGTGGGGCCGGGGCCCCGCTCAGCCCTGCGGCCGGCGGGCGACTGGCGCCCAGCCCAACCCACCTAACGGGGCTGTGGTTGTGGGGCGGAGATTGCTGTTGGTCTTGTGGGCGTTGTTATTTGTTGTTATTTATTGCTTTGTCTCTTTACGGTTCTAATTCTTGCAAGCTGTTCTGGGACGATTTTCATGTAGGACGGGGTCGGAATATTTTAAATAAATAAATAAGACTGAGAGCAGAGGGATGATATAAACCAAAGGAAGAAAAGGCACGATGCAGTTAGGTCTAATAAAGATACGGATGCTTCCAGAAATCAGGCAGAGCAGTTCGACAATTGAGGCAGAAGCGTTTCTTTGCTTAACCAGCGGATTCTGTGTATAGGATAATTGTGATACGGGGTGCAGGCAGCGGGGACCCTCCGAGCCAGACACGTGGCCCCGGGGGTCCCAGGCAGGTGGCGGCCGCATTGCAAGGCCGAGCCGGCCGGCGTGTGGTGCAAGCCCTGCCGAGGAGGGACCGGCGTGGCTTCTGCACGAGGAAGCTCCGCCGCGCCACTTGGGAAACGTCTGGCCGTGCAGCCCAATGCTGCGTCCACGGAGCGCCCCAGAGTCGTTATACAAACGAGTCATTATACAAACAGCCCATGAATATAGTTTGGATAAGAAGGGGCTTGTTAAAAGCACGTGAGATTTTTCACTTTTGGCAAAAACGGCGAGCTATAAAATGCCAGTCCCATGGAGAGCGCAGGTACGGCTCTTTTCTTTGCCAGGAGCAGGCAGGAGGAGAAGGCCCCCCACGCAGCGCAGGCCACAACTCTGGGGAACCTCCGCACAGCAGAGGAGGGCCGTGCCCTTCGATGGCAAGAGGCTTTCCGTCAAGCATTCACTCTACCAAGGGGGGTCGTTGAACGGAGGCTCCATGGCCGAAGAGGGAGCAAGCGTCTAGCCACTGCCAGATAGAGGACGCACTCGAAGGCTGGCCCTCGGCACCGCAAGCCAGGCACAAGCGCTTTCCGGGGCCCTCCGATTCCATGGCACCTCTAGAGGCGACTCGACACCGGATGGAGCCCTGTCTGAGCCAGGAACACTCGACAAGCCACGCTGCGTCCACCGCACTTGTGCCGGGCACGGGCTTTCAGGGGCCCTTCGCCAGAGTCGAGCCCGTCAGCGCCCGCGTGGTTTCTGTGTGCCGGCAGTGCACGGTGCACATGAGCAAACGGAAGGGGAGGCTCCAAGGATGCCCTGCGAGTCGCCGGCCGCCAGCCGGCCCTCCCAATAGCAGCATCTCCCCGAAGTGGGCCCCAAAGTCCCAACTGTCAGCACGCCCAATGCCTGAGTCACATCATCAGGAGGCTTCCTGTTCAGAAGTGGGGCTTAGGGCCACCCTTAGAAACCTCGGAAGGGGTCTCCAGGCCATCTAGTCTGACCTCCAGCTCCAGCCGGCTCCGCTCATGTAAACCCCAACATGTGGCTGTCCAATCTTTCCTTGAATGCCTCGCGGATGGGGCCCCCACCACCTCCCTTGGAAGCCCATTCCGTATCCTCGGGGTCCTGACCCTCAGGAAGTACTTCCTGGCATCCAGCCTGAAGCCTGGTTCCTCGAGCTTTGTCCCACTGGAACGGGTCCTGCCCTCAAGCAAGGAAGACCAGCTCCTGGTGCTCCTGCACATGGCATGCCCTCGCACACCTAGAAGACGCTCAAAGATCCCCCCGGAGTCTCCTCTTCTCCAGGCTGAGAAGACCCAGTTCCCTCCGTCTCGCCTCATCTGCCCTCCCTCCCAAACCAGCCACCATCCTGGCGCCCCTGCGCTGGACCGATGCAGAGTGAACTCTGTCTCCCTATGACGCGGGGCCCAGAACTGCACGCAGCGCCCCAGTTGTGGCTGCACCAGTCGTGTAGAGTGGGATCAGCGCCTCCCCAGATGTGGAAGCCACGCTTCTGGCCGCACATCCAAGGGCGGCGTTTGCCTTCTTAACCACCGTCACACGGCTGGCTCAAGCTCAGCCTGCCGTCAACCAGCACCCCGAGGTCCCGTTCACACGTTGCTGGTCGGGTCCAGAATGGCGCTGGTCTCAGACAGCTCTGAATACAAGAGGAGAAGAGCAGCGTGCTGTGCGGGGTCAGAGCACGGGCCGTCCGCTCTAGCATTTTGGTCACACCATCGCCAGCCAGATGCCACAGGAAATCCCCAAACAGGAGGCGAGTGCAGGCCCACTCTCCCATCCATGTTCCCCGGCAACTGGGGCTGGAGGCAGCACACGGCCTTCAGGACCAGGAGCCCCCGAGTGCCTCCTCCTCGCGAATTTGTCTCGTTCCATCTAAAGCCCGCCAAACTGCTGCCTGCCACGATGCCTCAGAGAAGCAAATTCCCGCAGCTCAGCTCTGCGGGGTGCGGAGAAGCCCTTCCTTTGCCCGGTCCTGAATCTCCCACCAACCGGCTTCATGGGGTGACCCTTTGCTTCCGGGATTGCGGGAGGGGGTGGAAAAGCCCCCCTTGGCACCTTCTCCGCACCAGGCGCAATTCTGCAGAGCGCTGCCGCGTCTGGCATGCTGGCCTCGTTCCCGTGCCGAGCCACCCTGGCGGCTGCCACTCCAGCCCCCTTGCCCTTTTCCGCACCCTTCCCACTCAGCCATGTCCGCTTTCTGGGAAGGGGACCAGGACCGCCCCCAAATCCCGAGCGTGGCACACCGAGTGTGGCTCAGAGCACGGCTTTCCCTGCTGCTCCCGCCCGTGCAGAGCCGGCCTTTCTCGCAGCCGCCATGCGCTGGCCATGGTTCCCATGGGCTGCAGCGAGCGGAACGTGCGGTGGCCCCCCAGGAGCCCACCCTCGGCCAGCTCAGGCCCCACCCACTCCCACCCGAAGGGGCACCCGTTTGCCCCGTGTGCATTACCGGGGCATCCGCTGAGGCGGGAGGCGACCGTGCCAGAAAGGCCGCTGTGGGAAGGCGGCGTGTGGCGCTTCCGCCGGCCCGTGTGCAAAGGGCACAGGAGTGGGCGGGAGGCGCAGGGGCCACTTCGGGGCGGAGGGAGAGGCCGGTTGCTGCCCCGCACCGGCGCTCCCACCAGCCGCCTGCGCACGGAACCACACGGAGCGCGGGAAGCGCCCTGAGCCTGGGGAGGCGGCTCACCACCCCCTGCACCAGAGTCAGCTCCGCTCTCCGGGGTGCCCTTCCCAGCCTCGCCCGGAGGGGCTGCCAGGCACAGAAGTGGCACGTCGGCCTGCTCGGCTGCCGGGCCGCACGGCTTCTCATCCCAGCTGCCCCTCCTCTCGTGCGGCCCACGCTGGCTTCCGCCGGGCCCCTGGCCTGGCACACAGTCCCGGCCACCCCCCACCGGTGTCCTCCACGACTCGGGACCACGACCGCCACCACTGCGCAGCCGCTGACCATGCCAGCTATGGCTTCTGCCTGAAGCCCAAAATTCCCGGAGGGCGCCGGGTCGACGAAGACTGGCTTATCCAGCGACATCTTGTCTGGTGCTCTGTAATGATTTGTTCGGATTTTGAACACACGCACGCACAATTTAAAGTACTTTAAAAGCATCGGAGGGTGCTGCCTTTAACGGGTGAGGGCTGCCCCATCAGTGCTGCGTGCAGGCTCTTCTGAAGTGCGGGGGGTGTCCTCTGCGGCTCCCAGCCTCCTGCAGAGAGCCCCGTGCAACCAGCTCTCTGCCCAAACCAGAGGAAGCCGCCCTGGGGCCCAGCAGCCCTGCCAGGGTCCCACTGCCAGCGCCGCCTCACACGGGGGCACCTGGCTCCCCACCAGGAGCATGCCCTTCGGCGCCCTGCTGTGCTGGCGCTCCCGCTGCAGGGTCCGCCCAGCCTCTTCCCCACCGTTCCTCACAGGTTTGGAAATGGTCAAATCCCCTTTCAAAGCCACGGAGGGGAGCAGAGTTGCCCAGTGGCTCCTTCCCGGAGTTGCCCACAGAGGGGTCCTTGCTCAGTCTACGGGGCCTCCGGGTGGGGCGCAAGAAGGGCTGCCAAAAGCGCTGGAGGGGCTGCACCTGGTGCTGGCAAGGGGGGCCCGCGAGGCCTGCGCAGTGTGGGGCTGCCGTCCGCGCTTCTTCACGGTGTGGTTTTATCGCGTGCTGCTCTGCTTTTCGCAGGGGCCTTTGCTCGCTGCTTGCTTAAAGTGCCAACCACCGCGGGTTGGAGCAAGAGTAAGCGAAGGGCGCCGAAGAGCTGACCTGCAGCCCCCGCCAGGAACAAGTGCGGCCCCTCGGGGAAGGCAGCTGTGGATGTGCCGGCCGCGGCAGGCCACCTGTGCGGCGAGGTGCGGGACACGGCAGGCTGCCCTGGGTAAGGCAGCCCGGGCCGACCTGCCACCACAGGCCTCCGCTGGGTGCCCAGGGATCGCCGCACGGCACGCGAATACGGCAAGCGGGGCCCACCTGAGCATCCACATTACCTTCAACGCGTAGCAGCCTCAGGTAAGGGCTGGTCGGCCCTCACATGACCTGCAAAGGCTTGGTCCGCCTGGCACGGTGCCACCCCCGGCCACAGAGGCCGGGGGCACCCTTAAAACGGTGGCCACAAGTGCCCGGCGCACAGTACGGCACAGCCCCTCCCTGGCTTGATCCCCGCTGCGCAACCCAACCGTGCCACGTCCGAAAGAAAGCTTCCCGCGCCGAAAAGCAGCATGAGCCCCATGCACAGAAGGGCAGGCTGGAGCACCGGCGGCCCCTCCCTGGCTCCCCTCCGGTGCTGCCCCAGCGCCAGGGAGCGACGCGCCTTCTCTGAGGCAGAACCTGGGGGAGGAGCGGCTGCTGGGGGCGGCCGCCGGCTGCCGCGAGTGTCCCTCCAAGGGTGCCCCGGCCCGGGGCAGAGCTCCACCGGCGGCGACCCCTGCAGGTGGGCGTGCAGTCCATGGCCGTCGCGGCGATTCCCCGACCCACGGCCTTCCCTGCACCAGCCAGCGATGCTCACGGAGGTAGGAGGTGTGGGGCAGCGAAGTGGGGCCAGCCAGCCCCAGGGAGGTGCTGGGACCGGGCAGTGGGGCGACCCTGGCCTCTGCCAGTCCCAGAGAGCTGGGAGCGGACGCAGGAGAGAGAATGGCAGCTCCAGCTGAGCGGCTCCTGCCCGCCACGTTTGCCTTCAAGTCAGGTCGACGAACAAAGGTGGAACCCGCGATCGCAAATGCATCCAAGGCAGGCCAGGCGGATGAGGTGACCCGGGGGGCTTCCGAGGGGCTCGAAAGAGGCCAGGCAGGGACATGTGCAGCAACGGGAGGAGCGACGCAAGGACAAGGCGGGGACCTTCTGGCCGCAGCGTGCGAAGGGTCGGCGCCTCAGCAGGATGGCGGGCGCCTCACCCCAGGCACCGTGCGCTCCGCCCCGCCACCACTGCAGCTCCCCAGCGCTGAGGGGGGCAGCCCCCCTTCCCTGCACAGGCGCTGCTCCACCGGGACCAGCTCAGCGGCGTGCAACCATTGGGGGCTGTTGAAGCCCAGATCTTCAGGACATGGCAGGTTGCCTTCCAGTGATGGCCGCCTCGTTGTCCCAACACTCAGTCCTCCGTTAACGGGGAGGGCGGAACAGCAGTGCTGGGTGTCCTCCGGAAGCCCCCCTGGGGCCGCCAGCATGACTGGCGGGGGTCAGCCTCCGGGCCGCCCCTCGGCTCCTTCCAGTGCTGCCCCGTCCTCCTGGCGATTCCAAGCCCCTTCTGGCGTCCTCTTCCGCACCGTTGAGTGCCGGGAGCCTCCGCGGGCTTTTCGATTTCAGGTTTAGGTGCGAGTTCAAGGGTTGGGTTCCGTCTCTTTAACCCTTTAATTTCTTGTTAGGAACAATTATGTCTGTGTGGACTGACGTATGCCTTAGGGCCTTCGTGTAACTATCTGGATTCCAGCTGTGAAGCACGCAGAGCTGTCTTTCAACGATTTAAGCCATTTCAGCTTCTGTGCTTGTCATCAAGCAGCGTACAAGGCACAGGTGAGGGGACAGGCTGGTGGCCCAGTGAGTCGTTTGGCTCGCTCCTCGAGGCTCCGTGTTCGGGGGCGTGCCTCAGGCTCGGTCCCCAGCTTATTTAGTACCTCGTCACACGGTCGTCCACGCACCCAGGTCGCCTCGTGACACCGGCTGCGGCAACGTGTCCCATGGCTGGCCTGACAGCGCTGTCCCGGCGCCTCCCAACATAGTCCGGGTGCCATGGCGGGATTTGCACCCACGCCCTGAGGGCTTCACCCCTTGCGGCTGGAACTGCACACCGGGCCCCTTTCCAAGGGCAAAGACTGGCCCCAGAGAGGGGGAACGGGGCAAGAGGGGGACCGGGGTCGAGGGCCCGTGCGGCACATGAGCGGTGCCCAGCGCCTCCCCCCTCGCAGCACTCACGAGGGCTGAAAACGGGGTGCGGGACATGGGGGCCGTTGCCACCCACGCAGGGCCTGGCACCATGAGCGAAGCGTGGAGGGCACCGGACTGCGTCCACGATGGATCCAACTGGCCCCGGAAGAGTCCTCGAGCCCGCGGCTAGGCTTTCGCCCAGTGTGGCTCGGATATCTGCTAGGCGAGGCTTCTTCGGCAAGCTGCTGGGACCGGCAGGGCGGGGGCACTGGCAGGGCTGGCGGGGGCACTGACGCCTGTACTCCAGGGAGCCGGGGGATCGGATCCGGCGCCCACGACTCCAGGCCTCCTTCTGTGCCTATAAAGACCAGAAAGCAGGTCTGAGGCCACGCCAGCCACAGCCGAAGAGGAGGATCCGCAAACGTGACCTGTGCAGCAGAGCCCTGGGGCCTCGGTGGCCACGCACGAAGCCACACGAGCGCCTTTGCATTAATTCGCTTTGAACAATTCGGTGCATCAGAGCCACTGCTCCGCTTCCTCGGTGCTCAGACTGACTGCCGATCCCACACGCCAAGGGAAAGGAGCAGGCGGCAGGCCCTGGCAGGCAGCGAGGCGGCAGAAGGGGGTGCTCTGATCTCGCGGAATTGTTGGGGTCCCCGGGAGGGAGGTTTGTAGATCCTCTGGCTGAGCTGCCAGTCGCAGCCTCGTCTGTCCTGCCTCCGGAGAGCCTCCCTCCACCTCCAGAGGCGGCCTGGCCCAGCCGGGCAGCTCGTTCTCTCCAGACGCCCCTCGAGACGCGTGGCTGAAATCGGCTTCCGCGCAAATCGGCTCCACCTTCCACGCGACGGCCCCCAGGCGTGCGATGGCGGCCATCAAGGCTCTGCTCCATCTCCTCTTCTCCAGGAGGACCATGCCCAGCCCATCGGCCACTCCTCGCTGGACTGGGGCCCTGGCCCCGCACCATCCAGCCCAGCCTGCCCTCCCTGGGGTCTCGGAGTCCTCCTTGGACGCGCACCCAGAGCTGGGCACACGGCCGACCTGAGCAGAGCAGAGGGGGACGTGGAGCCATGGGAACTGTGCTCCGCCCCGGCCGGGGCCGTCTCACGCCGCTCGCCGCGCCGCACACGGACTCAGGTCGCGCTTGTGAGCCTTGTACATGCGGGCAGGCCGAAGGAACGGTCCCCGTCCACAGGGGTGCTGGGCATAAACAGAGGGCTCTGTGCCAGGGACCGCTGCTCTGGTACCAGCCCTCTGCTCACGGCCGACTCCACCTCCTTTCCACGGCCAAGTGGCTCCTCATGCTCCCAAAACGGGCCACGTGGGTGGAAGGTGAGAGGACCAGCAGGCTGTGGCCAGTCTCCATCCCTCTGTCCTCCGCCTCATGGACTTCAGACCTCATGGAATCGCAGAGTTGGAGGGGGCCAGGAAGGCCCTCGGTCCAGCCCCCTGCCATTGCAGGACACCACGTCACACCACCCCACTCGGGGGGCTGCCCAGTTTCTCCTTGAGTGCCTCCAGTGAGGGAGAGCCCCCACCTCTCCGGGCAGCTGGCCCCCCTGCTGTATCGCTCTGACGGGGAGGAAGCTTTTCCTGATGCCCAGCCTGAACCTGGCTTGTTGCAACTTGAATTGCTCATTCCGTGTCCTGCACTCGGGCGTCAGCGTGAAGAGATCTGGGCCTCCCTCTTTGTGACAGCCTTCGAGGTCCTCACAGAGGGATCTCATGTCCCCCCTCAGTCTTCTCAAGGCTGAACATGCATCACGTTGCTGGATCATGTTTAGCCTGCGGTCCACAATGACTCCGAGGTCTTTTTCTTCTTCAGTTCCCTTGAGCCACGTGTTCCCCATCCTGTATCGACACCTTTGGTTTCTCTTTCCCACGTGGAAGACTTGGCACTTGTCCCTATTGAATCTCATGCTGTTGCTCTCAGCCCAGTGTTCAAGTTTTTCAAGACCACCCTGGCTCTTCTAGGGAGTTTGCTTTTCCACCCAGTGTTATATCATTTGTAAATTTGATTATCTTTCCTTGTACGTCCTCTTCCAAATCATGAGCAAAGATGTTGAAGAGCACTGGGACCAGGAATGAACCATGTGGCGCCCCACTAGTTACCTCCATCTCACTTGCGAAGGTGTCATGGGCACTCTCGGTGTCCGATTCAGCAGCCAATTTTGGATCCACCGAAGAGGTTTTC